CAAGACATGCAATGCACCTGAGACTTGAGATGGAGGGGTTCCCAGTTCATGGCATTGGACACAAGAACGTATTCACATAAATACTGTCGAAATGTGCGGATTCAACTGAAACCTAGTGTTTAATAGGTGATGCATCTGAAAAGAAGTGATAAATCACACATACATCATACATACATGAGTAAGGCTGAAACCGATTTGCAACATGACTGCAACAATGATACATTTAAAAAGTGCTTTCCAACACAATAGAAAATCCACCTTCCAAGAACTAATTCGTTTCTTCCGTTAAATTGAAAGGATCTAGAAAAAGCCACAAACTATACACTAGGAGGTATATTTTCCAGATTTATGCAGTGTCAAATACAAGCCAACGAAAAGTACTTTAGGGGAGGCAATTCCCCGACACATCACTACGCTTCCGTGAAGGGGAAGTTGGAAACATTTAGGACGACCTAAAAACGCCGGATGACCAGAATGAATTTCAATTAAATTTTAAGGTAAATTTAAAATGTCCTAAAAAATGGATACCAGTCGAATTCACTCAAGGAAGCAAAGTTTTCATTTTTAGGGCCTTGACTGTTCTTCGAAGCCAAAGTTGCATAGCTCTAGCATAACAATGACGACATCACGGACGTAAAACCAATGCATGTTTTCTGATGGAGTTAACATGGCAGTATAACACGCCACCACACATGATCACATTCTGGTCATAATTCCCAACTACTCACGAAAACCAACACCTACATCTCCATGCATCATTCATTCTGGATGTGCTTCTCTGAATCTTCAAAGACGAGAAGATCGAGGGGAGGGATGGTTCGCGGAAAAGGGCATAATCACCAATGCGCCCTTACACACAGAGGAATACAAGAGAGCCCAAACTTCGCTAAACTGAATCTGGTTAAATAGAAGCCAAAATGTAGTAGCAACAGCGGGTAAGTGAACAAATTGTTCAAATAGGGAAAATTAGCATACCCGCTTAACGCCCCTCTCACCTCTGCTCGACATAATTTACGGAGACTAAACGACAAGGAGATGAGTGGTATTTAATTTTGCATAGCATTTGAATTGCAAAGTAGTGAGTGAATGCGATTGATGGAAGGAAAATACTGGAAACGCAGGGTCTTTGTAAGGCATGCCGCACGAGCCAGTCATATTACAATAAAGTTTGACATCACTTTTACGAAATACAGAATTAATAAAGGAAAACACTTATTCTTTCTATGAATTTCTACTGCTTAGGCGCAGGAAAATGTAGGAACTCTAAATAACTGCCTGGAGTGAGCCGAAAACGGTCAAGTAATGGCAATGAAAATGCCAGGAAAAGTCCCAAAGGTCCCGGAAAGAACATTAAAAGCAGCAACTGACACTAACAATCTCTATATTCTGATATTGGAAGAATTTGTCCTGGCATTAAATGCGCAGCACTCATTTCCGGTTATGTGATAGACGCTGTGTTATTAAGCCTGACTTTATCCCTAACGAGCTACTGCAAAGGTCGCGATAGACCACCGACAATCAAAAAGATGTCAGTCTTTGAGAGCATCTTTGTATAAGAAGTAAAGCATGACCCAGATTAAGAAAAGCTGCAGATTAAAAGCTATGGTGGCAAGAGATAAATAAAGTAATTCAAGCTTGCAATTGCGATCTTCTGGCCATTAGACGGTCGTCACCGTGGCTCATTCAGCTTGACATGCGGACAGATATCTTTCCAACAAACTCAAACGGAAGGGATCATTTTGTGAAAGCTATTCAAATGAAATTTACGAATCACAAAGAATACCATTGGTATTATTGATATCAGCCATATTGAAGTAGAATTTGTTTTATGATCATCGAGTCACTAGCCGTCTAACTCAGTTGTCGCAGGTGGTTGGATGATAGCATTTCTTCGCAGGTAATTAATTGCCTAAAAAAGCTGCGCAACGAAACATTATTGTTTACTATCATCGATCTCTTCGATAAAGGTGAACTTGTCGATTGTGAATAAATTTTCTATATTCTAAGCATAAATGGACTTTTGGTCAAGCGTCCGACAAGGGACACTAATAACAGCACGATAATTGACTTTAGTCTCACGTTAAATCCGTAAATCTTAGTTCAGTTTGCCATCACTTGCGTTCAGACACATACATTTTCGGCAAGAGTCGCTAAGCGGAATTTCGCCAGAAACTACTAACAATAGACACGCCTCCTAAACATAAGCTGAAGTTGCCCATAATAAAAAGCAACAGCCCAACAATTTTTTGGGAAGATACCAGTGAATGGGGAAGTTTCTGTTTAAATAGCTTCCTGACAACGTCGCACTTTAACGCACTACTCGCAAATCCGCAAATTCATCACAACTGAAAATTCAGCGTTAGTGAGGGCCTGAAAGTGTCTCAAGTTGTACGCCCAAGTACTGAGGTAGAGATGATTGAGAAGAGGGAATCGCCATCACTCGACATACGCACAGATACATGGGGAGGTGGTCGAGCGAAGCAGCTGCACACAAAGGACAGACAGTGAAATAGATTTATGAATAAGTGGCGTACATTTCCTCGCCAGAAAATGAGTAAATTGCAATGTCGTAGTCCCATAGCATTTTACGCAACAGCACCGCTGTCGCTTCTGCTTCCACACCAAGGGTGACACTGATGTGCATCCGCACAAGTTGGCGACGATAAATATTTCATCACCCAAACCAAGCTTCTCCGCAGGTTTCATTGAACGAGGGTGACGAGGGTTAGAGCATACAGGGGAACTGCCATCAACCACCCATAAAAACCAAAAGGAACGGTCGGTGCAATATTTTGCCTGGAAGTAATCTTAGGAAAGCTGAAAACTCTGCTATTTTAGACAGACACAATATTTGGAAAAAGTATGAACGTAGTGTAAAAAGTATCACCGTGCAGGTACAAAAATGTCGTTCTGCATACGATTTCGACAAAATGTTTTTACCGAAATATACTATTGTTGACTAATATCCATTTTCAAAACATGGGGAAATCAGGAAATTCAACGCGGCGCAATAGTAGAGGAACAACAATAAAATAAAGCTAAACAGGGATTATTACAGAAGGAACATAAATGTGCAGGGCAGAGAAACAACAAATAACCCTTTTACTAGGTTTGCAACCAAACCGAAATCGCTTTTATAGGGAAGCGCAGTCTGTCACAATGATGGATATGAAAGGTCATGCTTGTTGGGACGGAACATTCTGGAAGAGCCACCCAAGGATAGTATGTTCTTCAGAGTAACTCCAAAGTCTTTAATATGTAGCCTCGGAAACATTAAACAAGAGAATCAAAGGCATCGACATAAGCGACGCAGTCCCGACAAAAGGACTCAACCAAAAGTAAGTGCTGGATTTCAGAAATAATAGGACAATTGCAGGTCAATACACCAAAGCGAGCAAACAAGATCATTGAACAAGGGCTTCGACTATGAAAAGAGAACTCACATTTGCTGTAGAGGGAGAGTGCCAGAGAAACAACGGCGGCAGCCATCAGAACTATGAGAGTAACATCCTGCAGCGCTTCCCACATAAGTTGCAAAAAGGTTTTCGGAGGTTTGGGGGGAATCACGTTCGATCCAAAAACTTGAGTTCGTTCGGCCACTTCAGCACTATGTACACCTAGTAGTGGAGATAGAGGAAGGTTATGCATTGAACAACTTATCGAAAAATAACATTGTATAGCACAATTTTTTGTCGACAGTCTGCAAGTGTCAGTTATAACTCGAAATGACTAGAAAAAAAATATGACACGGCACTTGTGTGTAAAATGGAGACAGTCATTATAAAAAAGCAAAAAAAAACATGATTTCAACAGTTCTAAAATTATAATAAAAAGAATCCAGAATATTCAGCGGCCCCAAATGATGCGAAATAATTCAATATTCACAGTTTAATACAATTAATTAAAATCAACGCACCGCTATTTGGAGATGTTTTTAATCGCTTGCATAGACCACTCACACCATCATATCGTGATTTAATGTATTCTATGGCCTCAAGACCACGTAGCTGCATCATTTCTTGAAGCTCCACAACTGTGACACCGTACGACTTGCGCGTCGTGTCTGAGCTACTTGCAGGATTCGGTGGCATCTCAAATATGTTCCGGAATAAACTGAGTAGGATAGGTACGATGTGCAAAACCGAACAAGGATCGGTTTTTCACAGAAAATAGGCTTGAAATAGAGTTGTTGGTAGAGGGCTACACGTATGTGAAGGCTGAATACGCATAGCCTGCGAAATAACACCAAGTCGATGACCAGTTGCACCACTCAAAACCCCAGACAAATTTTGGCATTCGAAGTGGCAATCAATTATGCTTATGGCTTGTTGATGCATCAAAACAATGCAAGTAACATTTACACAGGACTGGTAATGTAAAATTAAACAATTTTGTAGGAAAGACTACTTTTTAGGCACTGACTGTAACAGTATTTGGACCGTCACCCTTCTGCACACTTTTACATAGACGCGAAAGCGATGGGACAGTGACACATGACTTGCTTAAGTACGTAGGAAAGAAAACAATCACGAGCTGGTCGTCACAGTCACCAACTGCCTGTACTGCTCGGGAGGTATTGGGTGACAGCATCATTCATTCCCAAACTCTACTGGATCTGGAGTTTCATTCGATGGGAGAAATGAATTTGCTAAAGCATTGTTCCACTGACCAACACGCCATTTCATCGGTGGATGTTGGCACCGGTCTACAAGGGAGTATTTTGAGAGGAGTGCCTCAGGCAACACATCCCCGTTAGAATAGAGCTCCGTATGCATACACACTGTCGAGGCCTTAGTGTACGATCGGGAGGAATACCCGAACGCGAAAGTTGGCCCTATAGTTGATGATTTGTATCGTTACTTTTGTTAATGCCATTGGTACGAAACAAGAGAGGGAGGAGGATGTTGAGGAGAAACGTCATTCTCACCCACTTTGCCATGAGGGCGTCGAGCAAGCCTTCTCCATCCCCACTATGTGTGCTTCTTTCGCACCGTTAAAGTATGTTGCAAATGGTAGAGAGCAGGATGAAAGCGCTTGGTAGGTTGGGTCGCCTTGCCGCCGCCATGAATATACCGGCTCGAGATCGACTTGGAGGCAAAGGAGGGCACCCCATTTGGACGGACTGCGTTCAGCAAACAGAGGAGGAGTGGGACTGTGAGCTTTGTCCGGAGGTAAGTCTGCCCAACTAAGGCCTGTGGCCACCCAAATGGTCGTGACCGAAACTGGAGTTACGCGCTGCTCACTTTTTGGAAGTTGCGATTGTAGGGGTTTGACGATTTTGGGACGTTGTTCCGGCATATTAAATACAGGGCAAAGAGGTTGTTAGCTGACCTCAGTCTGCGTCAGAGGTGTGGAATTGTTCCATGAGAATGAGGTCCACATTGGCAACAACATAATACACATGTCCAATGTCTGTCCTTTCATTGTTAGCGCTGCGCTTTTGTTGCGGCGTACTTCGAGTCTTCGGCATGGTTGCAAGAAGCAACAATCCTGTGGAATGACATGTCGTCAAAGGAGAAGCATGGTGGAGGATGCGCAGCCACAGATCGAAGAATATGCTGCAGAGGGTAGACAATGCCTTGGAGACCAAAGCGTCCACCTGCTGAGGAGCAAAGTTGGGCTCTGTGTCGAATAGCATCATGCATTTGCGCATTTAGAATACGTTTTACCTGGGCGACACTTTGTGGCCAGCAGGCACTTGATTCGAAGACCTAGTGGCAGAGACTTGCTCTACCTGCAAGACCTTTCGTTTCCGTGGTTGTGCTCTTAATAAAGTGGGAAGTGGGCAGAAGTCCTATGACTGTGCAAAAGCAGTCATGGACGGATGTCGTGCTTGCAATCGTGCCTCAAGGACCGAGGAAGACAACTGGGAAAGGCAGCACTGTGGGTTCAAGGAGGAGCTATGTATGCCACTGGTGCAGCGAGTGTCACCTTTCTGAGGAAGTTGAAGAGAGATCGGGGACAAAGTGTGCCAGACACCACTTCTGAGAGGACTGAGATCAACAAGCGAGTGGATGGAAGTGATCGACAAGTGGAGGTTGGTCAATGGAGCGGAAGCGTTGAGGCGCTCAATACCTCGGTCTTCATTGGTGGAGGCAGTCTTACAGGACTCAAGCTAAGATTTTGAGCATTATGGGGAAACAGAGTGCTGGGAGGTTTCAACGGAGGGCATTGGTAGCCTTCAACTATCCACTGCATGAATGGCCTTGCAGGACGTGCATTATCAGCAGAAGATTCAAGGGGTCTCGTGCCACGAGTAGTGCACCACTTGGCTCTTTGTTTCCTTACCGATCGTGAAGAAAGGCAATCGTTGTTGACACATTTGAGAGTGTACTTATTCGGAAACATTGCCGCAAGGTAACTGCTAAGACTCCAAACCGCCGACGCCTTTTGTCCCCCTCTCCCACGTGGATCCTCTAAAACGGAAGGAAGAAATCAAAGCACTAACTTTAGAGGGCCTGCATATTGTAGGACTAAGCCAATCCTTCGAAGTTCTACCACACCTGGTGCAAAAGGCAGCTGCAAACCAAACACATTGGCCTAGTCACTCTCTGCATCGACTCCAGGTGAAGCGATGGCTTTTGGAACACCTACCCACACTCCCTTGTAAACAGTGGCAGACGTAGTGATCGCTGCGATGTACCGCCACTACTGCATATAACCAAATTCAAATTTGGTCACTTTGTGCCCCACACTATCGACATGCTATGATTACTAACCTTTTAAGCTTTTATTAGTTATTTTTAAGTTCTGACAGTACTTTCTGACGTATGAGAATTCACACTCAGCACTGTTATGGCGTTAATGCCATGTTTACCTAAACAGTAGGCCACGCGATTGATCGATGACCTGGATAATCGCATGTTGATGTTTACGCTTCCGATATGTTTAGACCAACTAGAGCAAGTTACTTGGCCAGTCGGTGGATCGCTCAGGTGGTTATAACATCATTCAAAGCATCAATTATTCTCAGTTATGTCTGCGGTGTGGTTGTCTCCCACCGCTACGCTGTTGCTGCTTCTCCTCCTTACCGGCAGCTGGGCGCAGTACGCTGACCTGCGCCGTTGGCGGGTCCTCTCGCCACCCGTCGCCCTCCATGAGCCTCTCTCTAGCGAAATTATCGAATACGTCAACAGCGTGCGCTCCACATATTTAACTTTGCTTTCATAGAAGCATGCGTCCTCTTTTCTTAGACTTAGGTGCTATAACACGGTCGGCTTATTCTCGATGATTGAAAGGCTTAAGGCATTCATTCTGAAGTCATTGTTCTTACCTTTTCATTTAGTTTTTGCTCATTCTGTAAGTTCTTGTTCACTGTTATTTGATTCAGTCTATTTTAAGTGGAATTTATTCCACATATTGGGATTTTGATTGTTGGTATATTATCCTACTCACATTTCAAACCTGGACCTTTTTTTCAAATTTCTGTTAATGATGTATTTTGTCAATACGATAGGAACCTGAAGGACAATTTATAGGGCAGCATTTTCTCCATACTGACGCTTTCCTTAAAGCAGTATTGCTGATATGGGCGAGCGAAACAGTACATCCATAATTGGCGTCATTTCCAGACACGAGTTCTGTTACCAGGACATTGACATTTCCTCTTTGATTAAGTGCTATGGGATAGTCTTAGTGTTACAGCATCTTGCAGCCTGTGTTAAAGTTCCTTAAAAACAGCAAATTATTGTAACCAGACTGAGGTATTATCGAAAGCACATGACTTTCACTCATCTCTGTAGCTTAACACTACCTGGAGGGCAGAACCATCGAGACGGTTCACCTCACCCTCACAGATACGCCAACAATTAGGGGCTCTTCCCGATCCCATGGGAAGACGTTTACCTCTACTCTACTCGCTTTCCGAGGAGAAATACAAAGACCTTCCCGAATCTTTCGATCCCCGCAATAAATGGCCAAACTGTGAAACTCTTTTCGAAATTCGTGATCAAGGTAGCTGCGGATCCTGCTGGGTATGCCCTATAGCACAAATTCTTACCAAGCGAAGCATTAATGCATTCATTTTGATTTGGGAGAAGGCAGACGTATACCTGACGTTCATTACCAGTTTGGAAATAACAATAAAGTTAGCCTCGAAGAAGTGCCAGTCATATTCTCAAAAAAATAGGACGCTTTAAACAGCAGGTATTAAATGCGGATTTATGTGAGATGTCGTCGAAATGCATAATACAGGCTTTTGGCGCGGCAGAGGCCATGTCGGACCGACTGTGCATCTACCAGCATGCAGCTCACGGACAATCGGAAATGGTGAGGCTGAGCGCTGATGACCTGCTCTCCTGTTGTGGCCAATGCGGAATGGGTTGCAATGGCGGCTTCCCCGCACAGGCTTGGAGTTTTTGGAAGAAAGAAGGTCTCGTCAGTGGTGGCCTTTACGGCACTAAGGGCGTGTGTCGAGCCTACGAGATACCTCCCTGCGAGCATCACGTCAATGGCACCCGTCCCCCATGCAACGGAGACGCCAAAACTCCTAAATGCAAGAGTGTTTGCCAGGATGAATACACAATTCCTTACAGGAAAGATAAGCATTACGGTAAGTGAGTATGCAGGATTAAGTCTGGTTTTTAGAGACAAAATATGACAGAGAATAGTTATGTCACATTGCAATCAAATCTGACGTACCTTCAAGAACAATGCACCGCATTTTGCATCCGTTGTTAAATAGATGATTCATTCATTCCTCTGCCTAGCCTCCAAGGTGTATTCTATCCATTCCAACGAGGATGCAATCAAGCACGAACTATTAACACACGGCCCAGTGGAGGCGGATTTTGAGGTGTACGCTGACTTCCCCACCTACAAGTCGGGCGTTTACCAGCACGTGAGCGGTGCGCTGCTCGGCGGTCACGCCGTTAAGTTGATGGGGTGGGGCGAGGAGAAGGGCGTACCCTACTGGCTTTGCGCTAATTCCTGGAACACTGACTGGGGTGATGGCGGTTTCTTTAAAATTCTCCGCGGTCAAAACCATTGTGGCATCGAGAGTGACATAGTCGCCGGTCTCCCACGTATTTAGCTTCCGCAACCTTTCAAAGCCTCTCCTACATATTTAGACAGATTGATTAGACATTCAATATTACTGCCACTTGAGGTGGCAGGAAGATTTAATGATTTCACATTGAATAAAGGCTTCGCTTTAACAAAAAGACCAAACTAATGAATGTATCGAAAACGGGACACAACAGGAATTATTTTACTGGAGAATTTAAGAAATTGTAAGTGGTTATGTAAACGATGCAAAGAGATATGGACGTCAGCGTGGTCCGCACCCAGGTGGCCAAGTAGGAGTGAATTTTTCTTAGTCTTCACAAGTAACGGGACATTGTAGGGCTGGGTAACACCATAGAGAAGTACAAGATAATTCAATAAAGTTTTTTTGCTTAATCTGCTGTTGAGGCGAATGCAAATGGAAATTGGAAGAGGAATAGGTGATGACCTTTACAGTGGAAATGTATTGTACAACGCCGTTATGCAATTGAGAATCGTTATGAAAGCTTTAAGGCACTTGATTTGGGTTTGCCCAAAACAGAACTTGGGACTGGATGAAGTAAAGCGAAAATCCACTTCTGCGATTATGCATAAGCTGATTGTATGCCAGAAGATTAGTGATGTGTAAAATCGAAATAAAGCGATTGTCTTTAGGCTACCTTTAGCATGCCCGTATGAGTGGACACATCACGTAATTCCATAACCTCAGGCAATTTAGGGCGCCCACGTTCATGAGTTGCAATTCCTCTCTTTGAACAACGTAGGCAGATTTTGACATTTCCCCCGTACTCCAAAGGGGCAAACTATGAGTTATGTAGTGTTCTCGTCTTCCTCATCACAAAATGGTTTAATTTACGGAAAAACTGTTAAGAAGGATGCTTGTCCACTCATATACCCACATGGCAAATTCATTTATTTATAAAATCCATCAAACGGCCATGATACAATGGTGATAGGTGGACATGGTCGGGTCCTGGTCCGCTCCAATTGGGCCCCGGCTCTGGAGGAACCAATGCGCTTCATGTGAGCTACGAAGGCTGATGCAAGTGTACTGCTAAGCCGTCTGATTCTCACCTCTCATACGCGCGGTGAGGAAATGCTTCTTCGACATATTTTGATGTTACTGATTCCATTTTGGTCCTCTAGAACTCCAAGTCAGAGCGAGAGTTTCGTGGACCTAATTGACTACATCAACAATGAGGTATGCAAACAACTTTACCTTGCATTTGTGTCAGATCGTCATGCGAGTACCACACATTAGTTCATCGACTTTTTCAAGGGTTATTGAGGATTGCTGTTGGGCTCAGTGGCTGTAGTCTGTCACACAATATGATGCTGCTGTTATAAACAAATAGGACAGGACACTTGAATGGGTTAATTAAACTAATGTCTCATAGAAGTTAACTGGACATCCCATGTTACGCATTCTGTATCGTGCAGTCTAAGTGTAGAAGTTGACCCCTTCAAAGTTGGCATTGGCATTTGTCGTGGTGCTTAGGGCACAGCTTTCATGAGAGCACAAGGGGACAGAACGCATTCAGCAACCTGCTGCATACACATCTTTTGCATACAATCAACTGCAAGTAAATTCAGGCGGAAATACCGTCATGTTAAATCGTCAAACCTAATATCGCGATGAGACAAGCTTAAGGTAAATTATGAATGGATTGTGTAAGTAATTAATGCTTGTCGGCATTTTATGAATGAATGACTGAAATGGGTTTATAGTCGGTTCACTTGTATCATAAACGGTCACCTGCCTTCCCTCTTCAGAATCTAGCCTCTTTACATCTATCTATGTGTTGGAGGCATTGAAGTTAGAGTATGATCATTGTGGTTCAAAACGAATATCCCCACTAAATGTGTTCATTTGCACTCCTCTACTGAGTCAGACAGCTTAACGCCGACTAGAAAAGCGATATGAGGACACAAATCAAGCTGTTCACAAGCACTGTCACTCCTTTAGTGTTGAGCACTTAATTATTTAGGCAAATACATCTTGGAGGGCTGGAAAAAATGAACGTTTTACCGACATACACTCTGCAAAATTTCAAATGGGAAGTCTCTTCACTCCAAGTGAGTCAAGACTGCCCACAAAGTCGTTCCACCTCTCGTCAACGCAGAATGCGGCGCTTCCCTTGGAGTTCGACGCACGCTTGGCCTGGCCAGACTGCCCCACCATTGGTGAGATCCGCGATCAAGGTGCCTGTGGGTCCTGCTGGGTAAGCGTACAACGCTTTGTTTTAGCCCCAAAATTTTCAGTGTGGCTAAGGTAGTGCTTACATTATTGGTACAATGACCTTCACCGGAGTCAGAATTTGAAAGGCATGAGAGGGGAGGGTCAAGTGATCTTCTAAATGCTGTTGTAGGCCTTTAAAGCTACTGAAGCTATATCAGACCGTATCTGTATACATTCAGAAGGGAAGGAGGTGGTGAGAATATCCGCAAATGACTTGCTATCCTGCTGTGGCCTCTTCTGTGGCTTCGGTTGTAATGGAGGTCTACCTGAGAACGCCTGGAAGTACTGGGCCAGAGAGGGAATTGTATCAGGTGGTCTCTATGGGTCGCATGTGGGCTGTCGACCCTATGAGATTCCACCCTGCGAGCACCATACCAATGGCAACCGGTCTGCCTGCAAAGGCAACTCAAGGACACCAAAGTGCCACCGGCAGTGTGTTGAGGATTCAGGTGTAGAGTACCAGACTGACAAACACTTCGGTATGCTCTGG